AATGAAAATGCCCTAAAATTGACCATAGTGACTAAAAACCATTGAACTGTGTATTTTAAAGGGGTTAATTGTATAGTATGTGAATTATATCTCAATAATCTGCTTAAAAAGCTAAAACTAAATAAATAAACTCAGAGCAGATACAGGGAGCATTTTTAACCCTCCCCATTGAAGGCAGAAGAGTTGGAAGAGGTAAGACAATTAGTGCTTTCCCCAGGAGTTTCAGCACTCCATTCTCCAACCAGCAGGAACCAGAGAAGCTGGCCAAATGACTTTCTAGATCTGCAAACTGCCAACTACTGGAGGGGAAGAAACAGGTTTTTAAAAGCATAAATGACACAACAGTGGATAAAAACTATTTTATGATTATTAATTTTCATTATATAACATTGCATGAAATACCGAGATTTCATCTATAATATGTATTCTCAACAGGGACACTCCCACTCCCACAGGGACAAAATGAATTTTGGAGACAAAAATATCTTTCTTCTTTTAACATATAAAGCACAAATATGCACACATTATATAAACAATTATACACTTTATCTATGATATTAAAATTACATGGAAAGGGTGATTCGGGGGAAAATACCTAAAAAGAGACCTTGGTGTCCATGAATTTCTGATTCCTCATTCACATACACTATACTAACACCCTTCCCGCTGTGTTCAGCTGTTATAAGATGAAAACATTTAGCTCCGGAGCTCATTCATTCTTCTTGAAATGCTCACGGTAACCAAAAGTCCCAGATTTTCTGTGTAAAATATTGGCTTCTGCTACCTAACCATGTGTCACTTATGAAATCTTCTGCTTATACTGAGAATGTATGACTTGAAACCAAAAGGCACAACCTACCACAGAACTAAAAAAGAGATGAAAAATATTTGCCTATGTATTATCCTTTCTCAAGCCTTTCCCTCTCCTACCCCTAAAATACAATCTTTAACATAAAAAGTTAAATAGGTGATTTTTCTCCTTTCACTTTATCTACCAACCTCATCCCTCCCTTCCCACCACCGCCCCACCACTATATATACAAGAAGACTTGCAGGGCGGGCCCTGTCTGAAGTCGTGAGGCAGATGATATTATCATCTGACCCACAGCCTCTCCTTATTTCTCTTCTCCATCCCCTTCTAATATATACCTTTCTTCAGCGCTTTACTTTATCTTAATTGATCTAGTCTACTTTATTTCAAAACTGAAAAAAAGGATCTGATTTTCATTTTCAACTGAACACTATATGGAGTGCACTCTTTCATACAAATGCCTTTTACATTAACTGTGGAATAAAAAGCTTTTGACTCCCAGCTCTTGCTCCTCATTTCAGGAGCACCACTCCTGGTCAGGGGCTCCCTCCTCCCCAGCATCAGCTGAGATGTTGTCGGCCAGCTAGCTATTAATACTTGACCCCAGGCAATTTACCTGAGCAGAAGGATGATTGTCTAGGTCCTGGATCCTTAACAACAGTGAAATCAACATATTCACATGCAATCCAAAGCATCCCTTTTTAGGTATCAGAAATATTTTCTTTAGTCTCAGTTTTCAATGAAGCACTTTCACGTTTTTAATCAAATATTGGCCCTTAGAATCTATTCATTTCTTTTCCCAGTGGAATTCAGATGTTCTTGCCTGCTCTGCACAAAGTTGATTTTCAATGGTAAACATTTAAATGAAAATGAGAAACTTCTTTTGGGAAATGGCCGTTCATGTCCTTTGCCCACTTTTTAATGGGATTATTTGGGGGGTTTTTTGCTGTTGAGTTATTTGAGTTCCTTGTATATTCTGGATATTAGTCCTTTGTCAGATGAATTATTTACAGATATTTTCTCCCATTCAACAAGTTATCTCTTTACTCTGTTGACTGTTTCCTGTGCCATGCAGAAGCTTTAAAGTTTAATATAGTCCCACTTGTCTATTTTTGTTTTGAACAAGTCTATGAAAAAATTCTCAACATTCCTAATCATCAAGGAAATGCAAATCAAAACCACAATGAGATATCATCTTACCCCAGTTAGAATGGTCATTACTAAAAAGACAAAACAACAGATGCTGGCGGGGATGCAGAGAAAAGGGAACTCATATACTGTGGCTGAGAATGTAAATTAGTACAGCCACTGTGAAAAATAGTATGGAGATTTCTCAAAAAACTAAAAATAGAACTATCATAAGATCTAGCAATTGCAATTCCACTACTGGGTATTTATCCAAAGCAAAGGAAATCAGTATATCAAAGGAATGCCTGCACCCCCATGTTTATCATAGCACTATTCACAATGGCAAAGATATGGAATCAACCTAAGTGTCCATTAACCGATGAATAAATAAAGAAAACATGGTATATACACAATGGAATACTATTGGGCCTTAAAAAAGAATGAAATTCTGTCATTCACAGCAACATGGATGCAACTGAAAGTCATATGTTAAGTGAAATAAGCCATCCAGGTTACGTACACATATGGAAATAACATTCATTAGAAATCAATCAGGTGGGAGGGAGGAGGAGGGGATGGGTAAATTCACACCTAATGGGTACAACACACACTATCTGGGTGATGGGCACACTTACAACTCTGACTCAAACAGTACAAAAGCAATTTATGTAACCAAAATGTTTGTACCCCTGTTATATGCTAAAATTTAAATAAATAAATAAATAAATAAAAATTAAAAAAAGAAATAAGCCAGGCACAGAATGACAAATATCACGTGTCCTTACCCTTATGTGGGAGCTAAGAAAGTTGAGGTAGTGAATAGAATGACTGACACTAGAGGCTGGGAAGTGGGTAGGGGAGAGGATAGGTTGATTAATGAGTACAAACATACAGTTAGATAGAAGGAATAAGTTCTAATGTTCAATAGCACAGTAGGGTGACTAAAGGTAACAACAATGTATCGTATATTTTAAAGTAGCTAGAAGAGAGGTTTTGAAATGTCCCCATCACATAGAAATGATAAATGTTCAAGGTAATGGATACCCTAAATACCCTGACATGATCATTACACATTCTATGCATGTAACAAAATAACACATGTAGCTCATAAATATGTAAAATATTATGCATCAATAAAAATGTTTTTTTTAAAAAAATGCTTTTAAATGATAAACTTTTTTTTCCAGACAAGAGTCTCACTCTGTTGCCTGGGCTAGAGTGAGTGCCGTGGCATCAGCCTAGCTCACAGCAACCTCAAACTCCTGGGCTCAAGAAATCCTTCTGCCTCAGCCTCCCAAGTAGCTGGGACTACAGGCATGTGCCACCATGCCTGGCTAATTTTTTCTATATATTTGTAGTTGTCCAGCTAATTTCTTTCTATTTTTAGTAGAGATGGGGTCTGGCTCTTACTCAGGCTGGTTTCGAACTCTTGACCTTGAGTGATCCCACCTTGGCCTCCCAGAGTGCTAGGATTACAGGAGTAAGCCACTACACCCGGCATAAATGATAAACTTTTTTACATGTAATAATATGAACTCTTACTGCAGAACTATCTTATCGAACAGGCTCTTAAGTACAAGGAAAACAAAAAGGAATTTGAAAATGTTCCCCAAAGCTTTCCAAGTTTTCTTTTATTCAGTTATATGCTTTAAGTGAAAATATTCCAGGGTGTAAAATATTAAGTAAAATATAAAGGCACTTTGGAGCAAGAAAATAGGACCAAGCTGAGATTTCCAATTTGCATGTGGTACTATGCAATTATTTTTATGACCTACTTTCATACATTTTTAATGTGACATAAAATAAACTCTGCTGTCACAACTTCCCATCCTTCCTACAATCTCGAAGCATAGCTGGTGGCCTCCCAGAAAAAGAGTTCTGTTCTAATCAACTGGCAAAGCATCTCATCTTCAAATTCACAGCCTCTACATTTAAAGCAAAGCATAACCAGCTTCCCTCCCTAGTCTTCTCCTTTCAAGCAATCCTTAATAGCAAACACGTGTTGAGGGCCCTCTGTGTGCAAGCTCCGCTGAAATATACCATTGCTTTTCATTTAGCCCACATAAAAATGTTCCCACTATCTTTAAATTCTTATTCGAATCTTTACAAAAATCCACAATGACTAGTAATTTTTGTTTGCTTATAGTTTGAGAGCAATGGCGATCCTTTCCACATTGGCACCTAACCCTGACCACCTAGGATTATGGCTGGTGGTGTCATACCTGGGCCTGAGTGTAGACTGCAGAGGTGGGAAAGCCTACAGCTGAGGAACAAGTATGTGACACTCCTTGGGGCCCCAGTACTTCAGTGGTCTAGCCTGAGAACCTACATTGTTCCTGTTACAAAGAGTCTATGGAATAGGTGTTCCAAACAAAACATAATTTCCTCCTGCCTTTTTTTGGAAACATTTATCATTTATAAGTTCAGGCCTCTTTATGTAAGTACTGGTATATTTGATGAAACAGTCTCATTAGTTTATATTCATTCTTTACAAAATGCTCTCTAAATCTATTTGTATATCCAGGTCATTTTCAACCTGGATAACTGAATATCAATTTTTTTCCAAATAGTTTTGACAAAATCGCATGGTTTTCATAAGAGTTTCCTTGCTTTTTAAAAAAAATACATATATAACTATACATAGATTTATCATTGATACAAAACATAAAAATCAACAGTGGCCATTACTTGTCTTGGGTCACTCGCAGCTGTGTATAAAATTTCTAACATCTTTTTTTTTCCTGGCTGTGCTCATTAATATTCTTCTCTCTCGCTATAATAAGGATACTCTTAGTATCACTGGTTTCACCAAGAGGATCAGCTCCCAACTTACTCCCAGCAGAATGGGGGGGGGCGGGGAGAGTGGCTCTAGTCAAGGAGACATCTGTTATCTGCACATTCCTGCAGTTGCACAACAAAGAGATCAGTCTGAAACAATGTCAAGATGCAAAGCACAGCACCTGTTATTCGCTGCAACCATTCCTAACCTTGCGTTGCTGAAGAAGCCTCAGCTGCCTAAAGGAGAGTCTGTGTTTACTTCTGCTGTGAAAAATGTACTCACCCTAAAGAGTAGAGGCGGCATTGCTTGCTGTGGATTTGATGAGCTAAGCCAAACCTGTCATCAAGACACACCGACCAGGGCTTCTGTTCAGGGCTGGCATCAGTAGCCAGGTTGTCTGTATTCATGTGATCGCATGCAATCTGTAAGGATTGGAAATCAATGTGAATAATTTAAAACCCTGGATGATAAATGGCAGGTAGGGACTTACTGCTTCCCCAGTCCCTGAAAACCATAATAGGAGAGTTATAGCCTTCTCTACAGCTAACTACTCCCCTCCCCAGGGAACCACAAGACTGCTATAAAATGTTTGGAGGGATTTCAATTACCAGATAATAAGTAACCTCATGGAGACCATATGCAGGCATGAAGGGAAGTTAAGAGTGGCTACAGCCATGTGCACAGGGCGTATAGGAGAGACCAAATCAGGGGCAAAGACGGAGGGTAAGAGGGGTCAGAACGGCTTTGTAGAGGTGTGTTGGTCTTGGAGGATGAAGAGAAGGTGACCAAGAGGCTCAGACCCAGGGCATTCCAGACACAGAGGACAGTGCTCACAAAGCATAGATGTCTTTGCTACCCACTGTGGCCCTGCTACAAGATGTGAGATAGGATCACAGGCATAGACCTCAGAAGAATACGGTACTCACAAGATTATCTATCCCTTATTTCAGGCAGATAAGGTGGGGCCACTAAGGTCCAGAAAGGTGGCAGATGTTATCCAAAGTAAAGGGCTGATCATGGGTCAAGTGAAATTAATAGGCAGTCCCTGCTGATAAGGCCTGTTCTTTGTGACTTACTGCTCTAATGAGCTTCCTCCCGAGGAAGGAGGGCAAGAGCCCCAGGCAGGAGGCACTTCCTGAGCTAACCAAAGCACTTCTCTTAACTCATCCATCAAAATTAGATAAGAAAACCAAAGAGAATGTATATCTAAGTCAAACAGAAGCAAGTCTCTAATTTCAACTGCACATTAAGCAAATACGCTCCATAAGGGATTCTGACTTGTGTTTGAGGCTGGTGCATTTTGCACAGCTGAGGCTGCGGGAACCAGAGAAAATAAGTTCTGTGGATAAGATATTTACCTTACCAAGCAATGGTATTTCCCCCGGCTCCCTCAAAACTCTCACAGTCATCATGATGCTCCACGAATGCAGCAGCTCTTGCTAGCATATCACAGATGAAAGACCATTCCAGATGTTTTGAGGTTCACTGCTTTCACTCATTGGAAAATATAACAGTAAGCAATATTCTTCTTAAGCAGATATCCTAGGCTTGCCTAATCCTTTTATTTAACTGACTTGCCAAAATTTTAATCTAAGAAGAGCATATTATGAAGAGCCTATTCAGCTACTAATACAGCATCTGCACTACTCTTGCTAAAACCTAGGGCTGGCCTAGCAAAATCATCCTGGCACTATTTACAAGTGACAATGAGAGACTCTTCCGCTAGGATTTGGGTATCTAGGAGGAAAGTTGAAAAAGTGAAACCCTTATATATTCTTTTCCTTCAACCAGTATCTTTCTACTTCTCTACCCCCAACCATTGTGTAAAGGGAAAAATAATAACAGAAAATGGAATGAGTCTTTTCTCAAGCAATCACCACAGAATACATTTATTAGCTGGGTGCATCAGCATGTTATTTTGTATAATTCATCTCCTACTATTCTCCCACAGATAAATGGAAATTATGTCTCTGCCTGCCCACCTCCCATTCCCCACCCACCCACTCAAGGGAAGAGAAGTTGCTAATCTAATTAGTCAGAGCTCAGAGTCTTCGCTGGGCCTGTTGACTAGTGGGCAGATAACTGTGCCTTAAATACCAGCACTTTCCCTAGCCCTCTGCTCCATTCCTCACCTCCAGCAGGAAGTTACTTAATCTAGCACAGTTCTATGGGCCCCCAGAGCATGCCTGGACCTTAAAAGCCTAAGCTATTTACTCCAGGGAAGTTTCCCAGGGTACCTTTAGAAGTGGTAGGATGATTCCCATTGCTATTGTTCTTTGTGTGCCCTTCTCCCTGAGAACCTCCATGTGATAGATCAGGATATGGATGTTTACCAGTCATTGTTTATAATTCCCTCCTAACATCATCCAAACCTATTCTAGCCTTTTTCAGTGTTTCTCAGGGTGTGGTCCACCTGCATCAGAATCACCTGGGAGGCACTTAAAATACAGATTCCTGGGTCCCACCACAGATCTGCAAAAGCAGATTCTTTAAGGCTGACACTTGGGAACATGCATTTTCATAAGCTTTCCTAGGTGATTCTTAATGTAGGTGGCCCTGTGAGTTTATTGGAGCCCTTTTGTAAAGCCCCTGCAAAATGTTCCAACCTGGGCACACCTGTGCCTTCACAAATTAAGAGAAGATGCTATTCTTAGGCCACAGCCTCAAATAGAAAACAGCAGCCCCTCTGACCCTACCCCTAGCACTGCAGTCCCCAACCCCTGGGCCTGAGCTCTACACCACACCTACCACCCCCACAACACCCCTGCCCCACCCCCAGCCCGTGGAAAAATTGTCTTCCATGAAACTGGTCCCTGATGTCAAAAAGTTGGGTACCACTGCTTGAAAGTGGTTGGCACCAACAACCAGCCAGAGGCCTCCAAAAGCTAGGTAAATATTTAGGGCCAAGTGTCAGGGCTTGGAGGTCCTCCTTTGCCAAAGTCAAGGACGAGGGCTTTCTTCTCTTCTACTTTAAGGATTTCTAATTATTCTACAGATTTCAACTTGCACAGATATATCCCTAGTGGAGAGACATTCTTTTCCACTCAGTCTCTCTAACAATGTTCCCCCTTCCTCTCTAAGCTCAAAAATAAAACACAGGAGTTATTCAGTTTTAACCATTTATTAACCATCTCATTGATAGTCATTAGCCTTTGAAAACAACTAAAAGTCCTCCATAAAATTCTGCCTCTAAAAATTAATTAAATATTGATTTTTTTCAAACTTTCTAGTTAAGATTTATGGCCACGGCTTCCATAAACTCTCTTGTAAGCAAAATAAGTGAGAGTAGTAACTTCTAGCTAAGCTCTAACTCAACTAATTATGTTCTGTGTCTAATTCCCCTTGTAATTTTAGCCATGTAAAGCAAATTAGGTCTGGACAAAGGAAAATAAACTCCAGGAAAAAATACTTTCTTCAATGTTTTTTAGTTATTGGACTTAAAGGGATCTAACTTATTTTTGTTTCATTTTGTATCCCAAAAGCTTGCATAGCATTTCTGCCAAGCCATAAGTAGAATCTGGCAAAGGGAATAAAATTTTGGAACTTTTGGCAAGAATCACTTTAATGATCAACTGTATATTTATACAGTACCATTACTTTTGAAAGGCTCAAGGGCAGAAGTGTATTTTTATTGTTTTTATCCTGTGATGTGTGTGTGTGTGTGTGTGTGCGTGCGCGCATGTGTGTCTGTAGCAGTAAATACAATAGATATTATCGTTGTAAAGCTGTAGTCCAAATCTCCAGAGCCTGGGTTCTTAGGTTATTCTTACAAATAGACAGATGTATAGATAACTAGGTAGATGGATGGAAGGATGGATGGATGAACAAACAGGGTTTTAAATATTTATTTTCCTTTTTAAAACAGCCACCGTTGCTTAGATTAATTTTGTACTGTGAGGCATGCTTCCTGGAGGCATATGGTTTGGGGGTTGACATAAAAAGCTGGATCTGGAGCCTTCCCTTTAGAACAGAGTGCTGTGTTTATGACTTAACCGTTTCGTGTCAGCGACAGACAGTGTATCATCAACTGCAGAACTTTGCCATGCATCATGGTCTTTCATGTTAGAAAAAACAATAGTACCTAACTAACCTGAGCTTGATGTTCTGCACACTCTACCCAAATGCCATTTCCTCTGGTCTGGTGTTTCACCAAGAAATGCGTAGCCCCAACCATGCCTCCAAGTTCACTACGATGGACACGTCCAAGGGTACCACGCCCACTGCTCTCTATTGCCAGGCTGTCCCATGCCCTGTGCCTCTGTTCCCAAGCTCCTTCAGCCTAGACAGCCTTCCTCACCCATCTGTTCACCTGTTAGAGAACACATAATTCTTGCACCCTTGCTATTTACCAGTGTGTGTGAGTGTTTTATTCAGGTTTGATATCCCAGTGGCCAGCACAGTGCCAGCCACAAAGCAGGTGCTCAGCAAACAACCTGCTGAACTGTGGAATGAATAAATCAGTGATGAACGTATCAAATGCTGGGCTTTGCTGTACAAGCTTGAATACAGATTTGAGAAAAATAATTTTTTTATATATTTTAAAAAGTAGCATAAGAGAATGGGGGTGGAATTCACTTTAATAACTTCAGAGGTTTTATTTTTTTCCTTGCCCATTATGACTCACTTCTGCTAACTGTGAAAATTTTAGGTAACAATGACTCTAATATTCTGCCAGTTTTGCAGGCTTTCATTGTCAAGATGAGTTCTAAACGAGGCATAAGCCACAAAAGCCTCCAAAAAGCTATACATTACATGGAGAAGGGGGAGGGAGCATTTGGCTGGTAAAAGACTGTGATTAAGAACCACGTAGTGTCATCTTTGATGGCTCCCACCGGTTGGCCTGCTAGTAACCCAGAAGTACATCAAAGCACAGTATCATACTTGGGTAAAATGGCCCCTGATTATAAAACCAATGTGAGGTTTGAAACTTTATCTCATTCTTTCTGGAAGCCAAAAATCCTTCTAGTGAGCTTCAACAACCAATTCTCTACTAAAATTATACATCCATTTATCTGCCTTCAAAACTAATTAGTTAGAACCTTGAGGGCAGAGACTATATGCCTCTGCCTCTAGACTATAACCGTGCTAGAGCCTAGCACAGCTCCTGGCCATGTGTGGGCTCTCAAAAATACTTGGTTAATAACAATTCTATACTACTCCGTGCACAGTACAAGCCACAGAACTGGAAGGGATGGACCTTAGAACCTTAGAAATAATGTGACACAATCTCTTCCATTTCAGGATCCGAACAAAAGCCAGAGAAGCAAAGTACATTACCCAGGTTTACAACATCACATTGTAGGATGCTTCATCGTTTTTTTTGTTTGTTTGTTTTTTCAAGAATTTTTCTGGCCGGGCGCGGTGGCTCACGCCTGTAATCCTAGCACTCTGGGAGGCCGAGGCGGGCGGATTGCTCAAGGTCAGGAGTTCAAAACCAGCCTGAGTGAGACCCCGTCTCTACCATAAAAATAGAAAGAAATTAATTGGCCAACTAATATATATAATATAAAAATCAGCCGGGCATGGTGGCGCATGCCTGTAGTCCCAGCTACTCAGGAGGCTGAGGCAGGAGGATCGCTTGAGCCCAGGAGTTTGAGGTTGCTGTGAGCTAGGCTGACACCACGGCACTCACTCTAGCCTGGGCAAGAAAGCGAGACTCTGTCTCAAAAAAAAAAAAAAAAAAAAAAAAAAAAAAAAATTTTTCTCCTCTCTACCCATAGCACGGGGAAAGATCCAAGAGGGGTCTGAAATGGCCATTTTATGCCTCAAGAGCTTCCTCTAAGTAAATATGCCTTTTATAAGTTACAGAAAAGGAATATGAAACATATATATATAATGGAATTTGGAGGCTTGCACTAGGTCAATTTATTTTGCAGGGGAGTGGGGGGGTCAAGCCCATAGTTCTCAAATTCAACTCCTAAATTTAACACCTCTTGTTTTTCTCGGGGGCCTTTAAGGGCTTTTTACAGTCACAGTTAAGAGGTCCAGATTCTTATCCTTCATGTAAAACCAAACTGTAAAATTAAAATTTCAGTATTTTAATTAAGTCTGCATAAGTGTGCCAAATTAATTTGCAGCAGCAAAATAAGATAAAATGATGTGCAGCACAGGGACCAATTCATCCCATCACTCATGATTAATTCAATAAGCTTTTACTTCCATGTTTGGGTGACAAATATTAAAATCCATATGACTGTCTGACTATATCATAAGCGAAATGGGACTTTCTTTTACCCCTAAACTAGCCTCCTAAAGATTTAGAAATATATTCTCTCCCATGGATGAGTGAGGTTGGAGAAGAGAAGTCGGATGCCAAAAGCCCAGGCTGGAGGGAGATGAAAAGAGTCCAGGACCCCCCCACGCACCCCCAGCCCCACCCCCCCGCACAGCTCACAGGCAGTCTGAGCTCCTAATCTGCTAGCACCTCACAGTGCAGGGCTGTTTCCCTAGGGCCTTGATTTCCTCTTCTGTCTCTCTGTCCCCCGGGATCAGGCAACTTCAGAATGGAACCTCCTGATTAACGTGTCAAGAGCCATAGACTCTCCTTAATGGACAGTCCCTTTGCCTGCTTGGGGCCCTGGCTCAGCCTGCAGCCGGGCAGGAGCTGCCACAGTGTGTTAAGTCACTAATAAAGGCCAGCGCTCAGTAATGATTTAAACTGCTCTAAGGACAGAGAGCCTTTGGATTCATTAACTTCTCAGCACACTGCCTGCAAAGTCTCCTCTGCTCTCTTGCCTAGCACGTCCCCGGCTGCCAAGCATCTGTGGCAGGAGAGTGAAAAGGCAAATGCCTCCAAATACAAAATGGAACTGGAACCTCCAGATGATGGTTTTGTTTTGTGACACACTTGACTGCCTACTCACGGGGACCAATCTGTCGCTTCAAATGGTTTTCCAAAACAATTTCCTAAAGTGGATCTTTAAAACACTATAGGATGAATCATTAAAACATTTCAGGTTGATGATACTCCTGGAAGGAAGAAGGTGCCCGAGCAAATGCAAGGCATCTTATCTGCCTCCAGCGCGTGGATGAATTTAAGCAGCAATGCCTCAGAAATCACAGCCCTACCAAGTCCCGATCGGGAGTCGCTGAGAACTCCCCAGCCCCCCTCACTGACAGATCCTTCTTTCAAAGGGGCAATCCGCATCTTTTACGTTCTTCTCAAGCCCACGTGAGCCTGAAACACAACCTGGGTGGTGCTGATATATCTCAGGAACCTCCAGGCTTCTTCATCCAGGGACTGAGCAGGGCCTGCCCAAGGCTGGAGACGGATCTGCCACCGGGGACCCTGTGGGAGACACACAGCACGGGCAGCGTCAGGAACGAGGAGCGTGGTGGGGAAGGGGAGGACAAAGAGTGTGAGATGGGGGCAAGGCTGCTTGAGCTGCCAGCAAAACAAACACGTGTGCACACAGGCTCAGGGGGCTCTTAGGGAGCTGCTGTCATTAAGGCCACATCCGTCACAGGGAGACAAATGAGGCCCGAGACAGCCAGCGCCCAGGTTAAGCATGAGATGGCACAGGCCCCGGGGACTGTCTGACTCCGCACTTGTGATCAAAGGCAAACTCCACTCGACCTCATGGGGCTCTCCCTTAACGTGGCTTTATACGACATGATGCCGGCCCTCCCACTCAGAAAAAAACCTGCCTTATCTACTAGTTTCCCAAAGCGTAGAGCTTCAAGAACATGCGCCTCCCCACTTATCAGTGGGAGCTCCATAATGTGTGCACGCGGACACAGCGTGGAATGACAGGCACTGGAGACGCTGAAGGCCGGGAGGCTGGGGGTTACGGGTGCAATGCACATTATTCGGGTGAGGGATATAATAAAAGCCCAGACTTCACCACTACACGACATATCCATGTAACAAAATTGCACTTGTGCCCCTTAAAGTTATACAAATTAGAAAAGAAAGAAAGAACTTCGTGGGTGGGGAAGAACATGTGCCTCCTTACAGGCCAGTTTTGTTGGCTGCAGCACCACGATGCTGGAGGCTTGTCTGTGTGGACAGGAAAAGCCCAGGGCCCTCAGTTATCCTCCTCAGCACAGGGCGATGGGGTAATGCCACCTGGCTGCAGGGCAAGGACCCGGCGCTGTCACCATCAGGGACGGGGGTGGCTTTCCAACACTGTGAGGCAGCCCCCTCCTATTAGCAGGGGGCAGGAGGAGCTCCCATGAGCAGAGGGGTTAGGATGACCCCTTAGCCTCGTTTTGCAGCAAGGATGAGTGGATGAAGGGTTGGGTGGAGGCAGTGGTCTGGAAGAAGCAAAAATGGGAACTCTTCCATCGCAAGGAGGCACTGGCTAGAGCCCAGAGCTCTCTACCTATAGCTGTCACCACCTGGAGACCTCCAGAAAATTCCCCGATTCCAAGGGGAGGGGGGACAGGGCTCAGCATGCAGCGTGGGAAGGGCTGGGGGCAGGAGAAGCTCCAGCTGCTGCCTGGGTGGATGTCTAGCATCAGGAAGGATTTGGGGTGTCACAGCACAAGGGATCCTGTAGAGTGGTTAGGATGGGCCCCTAAACCCCCTCTCATGGTAAGAAAGGGGCAGGGGAGGGTCCTGGGGACAAGATAAAGGGAACATTCATGTATACGCATTGTTCTCTAGGCAGCAAATGTCTGTCACCCAAAAAAGAAACATCTAAACAGGCTGGCCCCGAGATGCTTTAGTACAAATGTGGTATGTTGGGGTGGCAGAGGTGACTTGGGGTTAGACTGCCTTGGTGCAGGGCAGGAACAGGCAGGTTGGTCATTGTGAAGCCAGGTGTCTGGGCTTGGGGAAGAGGAATCCACTGTGGTGGGAGGGTCTGAGATCGCTGCAAACGCTTTGGAAGCGATCGAGTGTTGGGTTAGGCATTATCAGACACGCACCATCACGGACGAGTAGAGCCCGCAGCCCTGGCATCCGACAGCCTGTGCTGCCCTTGCAGTGGCTGAGCACCATGCGGTCCCTCCGGACTGAGGAACCCTCCCCAATTCCCCACAGGCTGCCTTTCGTTCAGGAATCCACAAGTCAGGGCCGGCCTCCTGTCCCTCTTAGAAGGGCCAGGCTTGGTTCAATGCTCGCTAGCACTGTCTTGAAATCCTTCCTAATTTTTGAAGAAGAGGTCCTGCATTTTCATTTTACACTGGGCCCCACAAATGCCCTGGCCGCTCTTCCCTGAGGGCCCCCTTTCTGGGAGAACAGCCTTTCCCCATGGCTGCCCTTGCTCTGTGAAGGTTGAGCAGGCACTCGAGTCAGAGAGAGCTGGAGAACATCAACTAACGTATCTTCCAGTTACTGCCTTCCACCACCCCCTTATTTAATGCTTCCTTCTCTGAGTTCACTGTTGATGACCACTCAGCCAAACAGTATTTACTGAGCCTCAGCCGCTCCGTGCCAGGCGCTGGTGAATACAGATCCGAATAAGACCCAGGCTCTCCCAGAAGGCGCTCACAGGCCGGTGGGGGAGACAGACAGCTACAAAATAACTTGATAGGGAACTGCTAAAACATTCCAGAGAGTCATTCCTTTCAGGAAATTATTCGATTCTGAAATCATACATTAAATACATCTAAACACACGTGCCTCCTAGTTTGGCTTGGTCACACGCTTTCTGCGTCGCGTTGACAGTTGCCACAGCAGCCAACACGGCCACGTGACGTCCATGAGCACTTACGCCTGGGGCTGGAAACCTCCCACTCAACTGTCATGGGACCGCTCACAAGCGCCCCCAGCATCCGGCCCTGGAGCTTCTTGATGAAAAAAGGAATGAAGTTCGCATGTTTTGGTTTTCCTCTAAATCAGGGGTTAGCAAACCTTTGCTATCATGGGTCAAATAGCCAATATTTTAGACTTTGCAGGCCAGAGTTTCCATTGCAGCTACTCATGTTGGAGCTCAAAAGCAGCCACAGACAATAAATAAACAAATAGTCGTGGCTGCATTCCAATAAAGCTCCATTTACAAAAACAGGCGGCAGGCTACGTTTGGCCTGCAAGCTGCAGTGTGCTGCCCTTGCCCTGCTTGATGCTAATTTGGAAGTAGACTGGCCTAGAAGTGGGTGTTTACTTGGAATAATTCAAGGGAGACAGATTATGATATTGTTGGGGCTCAGAACATGACACCCCAAAACACAGCACTTTGGCATGCTGAGTACTTAAACCGAAGGTCATTGAAAGGGCCTCAAAAGCAAGTTCTCTCTGACCCTCTCCTGCCTTCCTTTTTCTTCCCTCTTTTTCCTTCTGAAGCAAGTCCAAGAAACTAGAATTCCTCTTCTGCAAGGCAGGTCATAGAAACTAGGACCCCTCTTCCCCAAAGCAAGCCATAGAAATGTCACCCTCTCCCTCTCCCTTCTCCTTTCTCCCTTGAATATCCTCAGTCCGGAGGGTTCCGCTCCATCCCAGCTGGGAGGACTGCTTCACAGAGAAGCCACCGAGAGGCCAAGAAGAATCTGAACAGACAGGCCAGGCCCGGCTGGGTTTCCCTACTCAGTCTATTAGTTTAAGATTATATCCTTTTAGTTCAATCATATCTCTGCACAGCTGTCCATTCTTCATTGAACCTAAGCATTAAAATAGATCATTTTCCTTGGATCTTTGGGTCTTCATTTCTGACAACTCCCATGTCAGGTAAACCTTGATTAAATAATTTTGTTATGCTTTCTCTTGTTAACGTGTCTTTTCTTACAGGAGTGTTGGCCGTGATGCTTATGATGAGTGAGCATGGGTGACTTGGACACATTAGTTGAGATCCCAGCCGGATCCAGTGAGTTCGTTCAAACTGGCTAATTTAACAGTAAGACTACCAACAAAGGTGTGGGCAGGGTATAAGGAAACCAATGGGGAATAATGCAATACCTGTGTCTGGCAACACCAGAGAGCCCTGACAAGCCCAAGGGAAACCACAGGGAGAAGAAGGCCTTTAACAGAGGAACACAGCCAGTCCTATTACATACTCCACCCTGACTGTCTGCCCCACCACCCATTTCCTGCCTCCTGTTGGCCAAACCCAAAGAAAAGAGGGATGGTGTGGTTGGTCCATGCAGGTCAGCCTCTCAGGGGCAGAGCAGGGGGCAGGGTGGAGATTGGGCATGGGGGGCAAATGGAAGGCCTCTTGCACAGCATTCTTTGGAAAGAGGCAGTGAGATCTGACCAAAGAGTCGTTCATTCATTCAGCGGGCACTTGTGTCTCATGCCAGGCTCTGCGTTGCAATGTAATATAGGACACAGCTGTGTAAACCAACGAATGCAACGAAGATTATAGGGCTCCCACAGAAATCTCTACAGGGTACAATGCAGGCACAAAGAGATGGAGCACCTGAGTATTACCTCAAAATAAATGCCTGAAAACACAAAGCAGCTTTTGGGAAGCAGCCTCCACTGCTAGAAGCCCAAAAGCACATCAAAGTTCTTTCCAGCATCATTAAAGAGACACTGTCAACACAGAAGTATCATTTAACCTGGGCTAACACGTGAAAGGCACTTCACAGATGAGTAATGTGAATCCCTATGGTGAATCAATATGGTGAAACTATAGAATTATCTTAAGGATCCACAAATAGTACCCTTCTTGCAATCTGATATTTCTCATTTCCAACTGAGTGTTGACCACAAAGAAGCTAAACACAGCCAGCTAGAATATAGTAAATAATATAAGTTGAAGAGTCTCAGATGGGGATAAAATAGAAACATACAACAAATAAATGCCCTCAGAAGTGCTCTGGCTTAATGCATTGGTTGGGCTGTTTAAAAAACATTTCACAAAAAGCAATGTTCTTATTGGAATCAGTCTGACAGCAGTTTGTGATTATTTCCCCATGGAAACCACTAGCTTTTATCATCTCTTTCAATTATCATTTGTCTTAATTCTCTAGTGCACATATCAACATTTGTCCTTCCCAAATTCCCACAAATAGAATTCTCCGAGCACCTCAAAACACCAATGGCGGCACGCTTAATAGGAAAGGACAAAAGCCATCTTTCTCTTTTCAAAACAATTGTTATTATTATGATTTTACTCCAAACAATTCCCTAAATACCAGGGTACACTAAATGCCTATTATCCATGTGTTTCAACTATCCGGCGGCCATAACAATGCCACCTTCCCAGTCCTGTCTGCCACCTGCACTTCCTCTTCAGACAGGTAAAGCAGCAGCTTATGCAGAAGGCGGTTGGAGGTTCCATCCTTTTGGACTGTCTGTCTGTCCCCAGCAAGCCTGAGCTGAAATGTCGAACGGAGCATTGCAGTGAGCTGCCACAGAGAAGCGGCCTTGCTCCTGAGCTCCCGCAGGGATGGGGGCCGCTCTAT